ATGGAACAGGGGCACCTGGGTGGCTCAGTCGTTAAGTGTCTGCCTTCGGCTCAGGTCATGATCCTAGGGTCCTGGGATCGAGCCCCGCATCGGGCCCCCTGCTCAGCGGGGAACCTGCTTCTCCCTCTCCCACTCCCCCCTGCTTGTGTTCCCTGTCACACTGTCTCTCTCTCTGTCAAATAAATAAATAAAACCTTAAAAAAAGAAAACACCAACCATTTAAAAAAAAAGATAATGGAACCAAATTTGGTTTCTACATGCAAGACAAATGTATGAAGGAACAGATACAATAGTTTTACAGGAGAAACTGATCTTCTTATGGAGCAGAGAGGCACAGATGAGGACTACCCAATCTTAGAGAGGGACAGGCAAAGAGCATAGAAACTTTCCATGTATTCTTGAGGCCTGTATATATTTCCATAATTGGGAAAATAAAATGCCCCCTACGTCTTTTTTTTAATTTGAGTATAGTTGACACACAATGTTACATTAGTTTCAGATGTACAGCATAGTGATCGGACAAGTTTATACGTTATGCCATGTTCACCACAAGTGTAGCTACCATCTGTCAGTATAGGACACTATTATAATATCATTGGCTATATTCCTCATGCTGCCCTTGTATCTTTCTTATTTGAGCTAATTTGAATAGGCTTTTGTTCCTTGCAAACAAACTTTCCCCAAAATTATACTGGAAGCAAATTGAAAAAGAATCAAAAGGTTGACAATTAACAAGTCAGGAAATGACAGATGTTGGCGAGGATATGGAGAAAGGGGAACACTTTTATACTGTTGGTGGGAATGCAAGTTGGTACAGCCACTTTGGGAAATCGTGTGGAGGCTCCTCAAAAAGTTAAAAATAGAGCTACCCTACAACCCAGCAATTGCACTACTGGGTATTTACCCCAAAGATACAGATGTAGTGAAAAGAAGGAGCACATGCACCCCAATGTTCATAGCAGCAATGTCCACAATAGCCAAGCTGTGGAAGGAGCCGAGATGTCCTTCAACAGATGAATGGATAAAGAAGATGTGCTCATATATATAATGGAATATTTATTATTCAGCCATCAGAAAGGATGAAAATCTATCATTTACACCAATGTGGATGGAATTGGAGGGTATTATGGTAAGTGAAATAAGTTAATCAGAGAAACATAATTTCACTCATATGTGGAACATAAGGAATAGAGCAGAGGACAATAGGGGTGGGGGTAGGAAACCGAAGGGGAAGAAATCAGAGAGGGAGACAAATCATATGGGACTCTCAACTCTGGGAAACAAACTGAGGGTTGCAGAAAGGGAGGTGGGTGGGGGATGGGGTAACTGGGTGATGGGCATTAAGGAGAGCACGTGATATGATGAGCACTGGGTATTATACTGAATTGATGAGTTCCTACTGAATATTATATCAAAAACCAATGATGTACTATACCTTGGCTAATTGAATTTAAAGAAATAAAAACACTTTTTAAAAAAAGTTTGCTAGGCTTCTTTTTTCACCTGCTGTTTCTTTGTTATCTCATTGGACATCATTTTAGCGGAGTCTAAGACTTTAATTGCACTTTCATCTTCTAAAATGTTCCCTTCTGAAGATGATAGTGTTTCTAAAATTTTTTTCTCTATATCTTTTAGCTGTTTCTTATTAGCTGCAGACTGAAGAATAAGGGCATTTCGTTCCTCTTCTAATTCTGGTCTAAAAAGATAGAAACATTTAGTCTAAATTTGTAGTACTTTATCTAAATTCATATCTAAATATTAGATATCACAATTTTGTAGACATTTAAATAACTTTGTAATATGTAACACAAACTAAGGTATGTAACACAAACTTTATCCTAAGGAAAAAAGCTATTCCCATACAAATGATAATTTGAGAAATCTGAGCAAAAAAATGATCACTAATTGTATATATGTAAAATGTGGCAATAACATATACCACAGTAAGTCTAAGAATGTGTTAAGTTTATGGCTGAGATGGTTATATGAGAATAGGAACTGGAGAAGAAACACAATAGTCAACTTCTTATCTACTCCTTGGCTTTGTCACACTCTGTGTTATTTTCATCATGTCTTCCATAAGAGCAGAAAAGATGATTTGTCATACAATTGCCTTTTCAAGTAAAAGATAAAACTGGCACTTAACATCTTCACAAAGATAGTATAAAACTTTAAAATGACATAATTCATCATGTTATAGAATATGTTAGGACATGGTTCTGTCTTGGATACTATGCAAGTAGGATTCATATACTGGAAGTAACAAAAGTACCTCATGATTACATAATTTCACTTATAATTTGATTTCATGTAATAGACTGCTTGATGGTTCGTGAAGCTCCAAGTGGAATCAAGATTTCCTTCAGGTAGTAATTCTTTACTAGTAGCCCTATCACGTATCTTAATATCTTTTCCCTTTTAAAAAAATAACACATTGCTAGTAATGGAAAGAATGAAAAAATAATAAAAATTACCCATGATCTTATCAGCCTCAGAGATGATCACTGTTAACATTCTGGCATATTCCCTCCCAAACTTTTTAA